TAGGTCAGTGAAGTTCTGCAGGTCAGTGAGGTTCTGTAGGTCAGTGAAGTTCTGTAGATCAGTGAGGTTCTGTAGGTCAGTGAGGTTCTGCAGGTCAGTGAGGTTCTGTAGGTCAGTGAGGTTCTGCAGGTCAGTCAGGTTCTGCAGGTCAGTGAGGTTCTGTAGGTCAGTGAGGTTCTGCAGGTCAGTGAAGTTCTGTAGGTCAGTGAGGTTCTGCATGTCAGTGAAGTTCTGTAGGTCAGTGAGGTTATGCAGGTCAGTGAGGTTCTGTAGGTCAGTGAGGTTATGCAGGTCAGTGAGATTCTGCAGGTCAGTGAAGTTCTGCATGTCAGTGAGGTTCTGCAGGTCAGTGAGGTTCTGCAGGTCAGTGAGGTTCTGTAGGTCAGTGAGGTTCTGCAGGGCTATGTCAGCAGTTCTGCTGCACATCCTGACAATCTGAGAGTTTGTTCCTGTTTTTGCTCGTCAAACGTCCAACCCAACAGATGAAGGTGAAAGTTAAGAGACTCAGTAAAACATTCTCATAAAAGTAGAACCAACATTAAAACCACAGAACTTCAGATAAAAATTACAGTCTCTGGTGGGCCTTCTTAAAAAGTGAGTTGACCTGGGGGTCAAAGGTCAGTTTGTCATTGAGACCAGTTCCCAGATGTTTATTTTGATGCAGCGCCTCAGCAGCTTCACCGTCAATAGTAAATTAATGGTGAAGGTAAATGTGATGCTTTTCTCTGACCCTGTCAGACATCTAGAAAAATGATGTTTGTGCACATACACCCCTACTTCTTACAAAGGTTTGCATAAAGCAGCTCTTTTCAAACGGACTACCATGAAGACGCTGCTGGAGCTGATGTTTACAGAGCTGCTCTTCTTCTTAACGTTCAGCACAAAGGGCCTGCAGACGCCATCTGAAGTGCTGAAGTCAGCTCTCACCGTCTCATCTGCATAACGAACCTTTCATCATTTTGTTTTCAGCGCAGCTTCGCCCCTTCTCGACACAACAAACTTTTCCTCACAGGTTCCTACGCCGTGTAGCGAGTGACTGGTCACATGTTTGTGGGCGTGTTCGTCGATGTGGAAATGTGCTCAGACGTTCAGCTGTACGACTCTTCAAACACCAAATGAGTCAGATGGAGTATGTCGGGCCCCGAACTCTGCTCATTCCTTTTAGTACTGGCTGTTTGTGCAGACTCGTACCGACAGTTTAGATTTATTCTTACCGACCGAACTGCGTGATGTGAAGTCTAACCAACCTGTGTGGCTCATGTATCGTCCTGGTGTGCAGCTGCTGTGTCTCTGAGCTGCTGAACAGCTGCTCGAGCTGAAGTTAGTGCAGAAGAATCCCTCCAGTGGTTTACAAACGGTGTCTGACGTTAAAGCACAAGACTGATTGACCTCCAGTCCAGAACCTGTCAACAAACAGAGGGGTTACACAGGCGGAAGCAGAACGTTCCCGTTTGCTTGATCAACAGATTTTTGTTTTCAGACGGGAAGACTCTTTGGTATTATGAGTTTCCTCCGTCATGCTCCTCCTCCCTCCACCGCCCTACAAGTCGCATCTGTCCAAATACAGTGCATGTCTAATAAAGTGAAAAAAACCCCACATAAATACGTCGCTTCTATTCTGCGTCACCGCTGACAACCTGGAAATGTGGGCCGGCGTTGTGCCAAAAATCGATTGGCTGCCAAATGGCGGTCGCTGGAGCGTGCACAGGAGGACTTTAACAAGAATTTAACGAGATTAACACTTAAAAACAATTATTTGTTTGCTCTAAATTATAGTAAAGGTGTGTCTCAGTTGAACTTTTACGTAATAAATGCACTTTAACGGTCAAATCAGCTGCATTTCAAAAGTCGATATGCAGAAGTCGGAACGCGCTGAGGGATGAGTCGCTGCGTATTTCTTCAAAATTTAACAAGATAACCACCTAAAAACAATTATTTGTTTGTTCAACTTTATAGTAAAGGTGCGTCTCAGCTGAACTTTTATTTAATTAATGCACTTTAATGGTCAAATTATCTGCATTTCTCTGAGGTGGTGCAGCAAAATTAAGCTGATTTGACGGTTGCTCCAAGCGAGCTGGACGAAGGCGGCACACTGTGGCAAGTCGACTGTGTCACTAATAACCACTTTTACCTATTACATGACACAACGGCATGCCGTACTACTCAAGTGCCAAAAAGGTAGTGTTCAATATTTTCAGTCAGAATGAATGAAAACGGTCACATCTCAGTAACAATTGGTTTATAAATATGGAAAAAAATCCATAAACACGTTGCTTTGGAGTATAAGTCACAGATGCAAAAAAACTCTGACTTGTAGGCCGAAAAATACGGTAAATTAAAAAGAAAAATCAGACCTGGCTCGCAGCGGCTGCACGTTTTGCATTCCTTTTGTCCGTTATGTTTGTCCATGTAAGTCCCGTCTGTGCAGGACACACATGCTGTACTTGTGAAATCGGTGCAGTCTTTTTCAACTCGCATTCCTGTTGGAAGGCAAAGCAACTATCAAACTCAACGACTGGTTAATTCATTTATGTTGAATAAAGTTTACTGCTGACTAGACCATCGTCTTTATTACAACCAACACATAAACACAATTTAACTAATTATTCATGAACTAGAATCTATAATTACGTTGAATGAATTGTGTTTGTTAAATTCACATCAACAACTGTGAGAGTCTGATTTAAAACAAAGTGAAACGTGTTTTTAACGTGTACCGGGGCCACACAGAGGACAGCACTGTGCCCCGGTCTGATACTCTGCTTCATCACACATGAGGGTACGAACGCAGACGACTCCCAGCACCAGCATCTGTGAAGACAAACAGAAATTATTAATGTTATTATTGATTCAATTCAAGCAGAGGCTAGTGAGATTAAAAACATTCAGATGGTGGTGGTGAGAAAAATACAAAAAGACCTCGTGATATCTGAATAATACACGTCCCTCCATCTTTCCCTTTTAAGTTTTAGTTTAAGAAATGGTGGCAGATGTTTTGGTCAGTGCTATGATCGTTAGTGCTCAGAGGCACTGGGCATGAATCTCAGCTACCACCACCACCACCACCACCACCACCACACCCAACTGCATCTGTCAACCCCCTCGGCGACAGCCACAACAAGAAGAACGACACGTTTAGCTGAATCTCTCAGGAGTAAAGACGGGCGGAGGTTCTGTCTGTGAAGAACTAAAACAGAGGAATGATGTCATAATCAAGTTCTTCAACGTAAAACTGAAGACTTTGAATATCTGGTCATCTGTAAATGTGTGAACGTTCATGAAGCGTGCGCTCTACTGTGATGCATTTTTCTTCTGCAAGTTTTTCGTTTCACAGTTTTCAAACTATTTCAACAAGAATAAAAACGTTCGGCTCTTTCAGGACAATCCTGCTGTGACTTTTGGTATTTGTGCAACTTTAGCTTTTTGAAATATTTAGCTTTTTCTGCCATTTTTTTTCCTCATAGGAAATGACTTTAGCTCATTTTACATCCTTCAGATCTTTAGCTCCGTTTACAACCTTTAACTGCTCCTTTCACATTTTGTTCTGCTTCAGCTTCTTTCAGCAAATGTAAACATTTATTTCAGCTACTTCCAGCTGTGTTTTCAGCTGTTTTGTGCTCCTTTCAGAGTCTTTCAGCTAACTACAACATTTTTGTGCTTCTTCCAAATTCCTTTTGCTCCTTTCAGCTTATTTCTGCGTTTCAGCTAGTTCTGCTATTTCAGCTTCTATATAGCTGTTTTTAATGCTAATTTAAGCTTTTTCAGCTAATTCCAATTTTTTTAACTCATTTAAACTTTTTTCAGCCTAATTCAGCCAAAATGTGCTCTCTCCACTTCCTTCTTGTAATCAAGCTTCTTTCTGCGTTTTTAGCTACTTTTCAGCTGTTTTTGCTAATTTCAGCTTTTATCAGATAATTTCCACTTTTTGGGCTCATTTCTGCTTCTTTCAGCCTAATTGCATAAACATGTTCTTTCTGCGTTCTTATGCTAATTTAAGCTTTAGCTTATTTCAGTTGTTTTTCAGCAAGTTCTTCAGCAATAAGCCTTCAGACGGCATTTTTGCATGAAATTAAATTTCTCTAGTTACTGATGTTATCTAAAGGTTTTAAGACGGAGGATATTTCTGTTCACACAGGACAAGGCTGAGAGTTAAAGATGTCATATTGTTGCCATAAAATTCAAAATGATTCTTTTTTTAATGCTTTGACATTTCGTGTGTTCGTTATGTTCCACTGTGAATAAAGAAAAAATAGTTTATGAAATTTGGAAATCATTGCATTCATTATTTTTTTTATTTTTTTACATTTTAAACAACCTGTCGACTTTCTCAGAATCAGGATTGTAGTTTAAATTTAAAGTAGTTCTGCGACAAGTTTAGGTGGAAAAACGTGTAAAAGAAAATTGCACAGCATGTTGAACAAGTTTTCTATAAACAAATGTTTTTCACGAGATGCTTTTGAACTTGTCCGAGCGAGAGGAAACCAGAATATTATCGATGGCTTCTTTAGTTTTAGCGTGCTTTGACAGGAAACCAATATTTTCCTGTGAACATGTGGGCTGATGTGAAAGAGGTGTTTTACCAGAGTTACAGTAGTCCACACTGGTCCTGTCCGGTCCATTCTTGGAAGACAGGTCGAGTTTCCTCGAGCTGAAGACACCGTCTAACGGAGAACGCTGCAACATCCAACACATGTAGCATTTAGAGTTATCAGTCAGCCTAACATGCATGTTTAGAATATTGCACAGTGTGGCTGTTTTTCACTTATCGCTGGGCTTCAGGTTACAGATCACCCGCGAAAAACGAGGGACTAATATACACACATTACCAAGGCAACAACAACAGATTAAATATTAAGCAACATGTGTCCTTTTGAGCACCGGCGACTCCCGTGACCCAAAAATGGAAGAAGCGGGTAAAAGATGATGGATGTGCTTTTTTAAACAGGAAATGTAACAAGTCGCAGGAGGCTTGACGACATTATAAAATAAAAATAAACAACAACAAAACAACACACGGAAGAAAACAAGAACTTGGTAAACTTACCGTCACGTGACTCATAAACCAAAGTTGGAGCGGAGTTCAGTGAGGAATAAAGAACTAGTTGAAATGTAACAGCTAGTGATGGCGGAACGAAACAAAAGTTACTGCCGTGAAGTGAAGTTCGTTTTAGGGCTGATCTTCGAGCTCCGTGGAGTCAGCGGTGTCTTCTTCTCGCTCGATTCGATTAAAGAACTCTGATTTGGGAACACCGCCCTCAGTCTGACCCCCTCCTCCTCCTCCGAGCCGCGGAGGTTCGCGTATCTGGGAGACCACATCTGATTGGACGAGACGTATCCGGTGGCTATATCTGATTGGACTATAGGAAAATGGGCGTATCCGGTGGACCATATCTGATTGGACTAGAGGAAAATGGGCGTTGGCAGCCACATCTGATTGGCCAAAAAAACTTTTGGAAACTTTAATTCCTTTTTCTGGATGGAAATCACATTTTTTTGGGTGATTGTTTCCTCTGGTATCGAATGCTGTGCAGCTGGAAGGATTTTTACTTAAACTTTTATAGTTTTGGACATTTGTTATGATGCGTAACCATGGCAACAAGGCAAATTTTCTACAACCAATCTGAGATTAACATCTCAGAAGCCCACTTTTGGTCTGCAGAGATACCTACTTGGAGATACCTACTTGGAGATACCTACTTGGAGATACCTACTTGGGAGACCCTCTTCTCGTTCGCTTAGGGACGGTCAACAAATTACCCACCAACTCTCTGAGAGACAAAAATCAACATCACGTCACCCACACTGACACAAACTAATGTTAAATTACTTTACTAGACCTGACAGATGCGACACACTCATTTGAATGATTTTGTAAAATCAATGCATTTTCTGCTTTTAAATAATTTCAATTCAATAGTTTTCTTGTAACATGACTTTGTGATGTCAAATCCTTGTTGAACTATGTGTCTAGAATAGAAAGACATTATTTGGGGGTTTCAGATTTTATGGCATATGTTTTTAATCAAGACTTTTTATATGTTTTTATAAATTTTCATGTAGCATATGGCATATTTTTTTAAAAATCTGTATTTATTTTACTAGCTTGGACAAGAACGACATCCCCACTTTTATCTGACTTCTATGAACTCAGTTTTATGGTATCGTTTTAAAATAAAATCATTTTTTCTACAACTTTTGTGGTCATGTTAAGCACCTGATGCATCAAGGATTTAAAGAACCACATCTCTTTGGTCTCTTTTGCCTTTTTGGTTGTTTTAAATGTCACATCTGGCGTCAGAGGTTCATCAATGCTTTTTGCATCTAAACGAAACACTTCCGTTTCTTTTTCGTACATAATAATGCACCAGATCCAGCAGGAACATGTGGACACGCATTAAAGACATCCACCTTATTCTGGTGCCTCTACTGTAGAAACGATTATGTGCACAACTTCCTGTCAGACACCAGAAATAGCAGTTCCATGATGGGGGAGCACGGACCGCGGGTTATTTGCATTCAGTTTAGCAGAAAACACTTTTACATTTATTTAATAAATGGAGTTTACAGAAATGTCCAGCCTGAGTTCAGGCACCTGTTGTGCTGCTCGCGGCTGCACAACCAGACCAAACTAAATCGGTGGCTACAGCGTACGCACCGTTGACACACGAGGCCACTCAAAGAAGACTGGACAAGAAGAGTCCTCGCACGTTTTTAAGCTGTGGGAGGAAACTGGTGTACCTGGTGAAAACCCACAGGTGCACGGAGAGAACATGCAAACTCCACCCAGGCCAGGGGGTCCAGTATTTTAGTACTGATGGGTGGTATTTTCTGGCCTGCCTACAAATATAGTAATTATAGTAGTAGCATGTCGATGTTGCGTTTTGTTCCTTCTGGCGCTGGTAGGGCTTGTTAGGAGGATCAATACAAATGTGTTTTCACATTATATGTGATATGTGTTTAAGTAAAATAAAGATTTTTACAGACTGACGGCACAGATAAAAACACGGAGCTTCATCGTGTCAATAGATGCACAAAGGGCGTTTCAAGAGGGCTGCCAAACTTATCAGCTGGTGCTGCAAGTGGCCAGTCTCATGTTTTCTGACAGTTTCTTCTTCTCCAGGTGGTTGAGTCAGAAGCAGAGCCCCATAAAGAGATAAAGAGAGGTCTCTTTATAGGGCTCTGGTCAGAATGGTGTATTAGACACGTGCTTGGCTGGAGCTCGAGTGTGAACCGATATTTAAACTAAATGTATTCAAAGCAAAAACAAAAAGAACAGGCTTTCCTAAAAAAATCAAATAAAGCTCATCCATTGTTTATGTCCTGTGAAGTAAAATGTGAAAGTTAAGACTCGTACAGTCCAGTTTTTTTTTGTATTTCACTGCTGTAAAATGGGAAATGAACAAGAATCCATCCATTATCTTTTACCCGCTTCTTCCATTTCGGGTCACGGGGGTCACCGGTCCAGCAATCACTGTGCGAGGGGCAGGGGACAGCTGGACAGGTCGCAAGTCCATCACAGGGACACATAGAGACAAACGAGACAAACAACCATTCACTCTCTCACCTAGGGACAATTTAGTCACCAATCAGCCCAACATGCATGTTTTTGGTCTGTGGGAGGAAACCATGTTCTCTAATGTTTTGATTTTAGGTCATTGTACCAGTATTTTTTAATCAAAGCATCGACATCTGCGTTAAATATTTGTATCCCTTCATTTCGATGTTTGTGTTGGTACCAGCATCATCAGCCAGTCCCTGAGACGACTTCTGTTGTGACTTGGAGCTTTATAAATAAACTGAACTGAAAATGAACAACTGAAAATACTTTCAGCAAACTCATGCATACAGGACATCTACAAGATTGATCTGGAGATTTTATTTTATAAAATTGTTCAAGACGTTATAAAAATATTTGGCCTTATTTACTCTAATCAGGCATCTTTCAGTGCCACATGCAGTGACTTTTCATTCAGTTGGGGTGGCACCTACCACCACAGCCACCCCTCTACCTCCGCCCCTGGGAGGCAGCAGTCAAAGACTTGTATATAAAAATGTACCAGTGACTGTTCTTTTGAATGGCTGAGCAGCAGCTACTCCACCTGAGAATCCAGCCGACAGTGGAGTGGCGATGCTTCATGAACATCAGGAGCAGAAGAAGCTGCACCAACCACTAGACAGAAGCATTCATACAGAGAAGAGCTCCATAATTCAGCTCAGGTAAAAAGGTTTGAGCAACAAGCTCTCGTTTATATTAAAACAAAACACATTTTAAAAATAAAAATTATAGTTTTACAGATATGTGCACATAAACCCAAGGCACAGTGGCCGCCATCTTGGCATGAATAAAGTCCAACACCCCCAGGAGTTTGTTTTAGTGTCCAGGTGTGACCGTGAAGCTCCCACTGGGCAGAACTGGAGCTACGACTCATGGGAACGTTCAGCCACAAAAAGTGCATTTTTAACATAAATATCAAAATTCACATTTACATCTGTCTCCATGATGTTCCAGTAAAAAACTAATTCTGTTCCCACAGTTATTAACCTGAAATATTAATGTTCGTAACTGTTGGAGTGCAGCCGTCCACCACTCAGCGCTGGTCTGAACCTCCATCAGCTGATTGGTGTGAGACGATGGTCCAGCTGTGCTGAAGCAGCAAGAATGAAGTCGGGGCTCCTGAGACATCAAACCAACTTGAAGAAGCTGTAATGGCAGAACGTCCTTATACGTATCCTCACACTGTTGGAATCTGGAGGAAAGTGACAAACACTTGAACTCATCACAAGATCTCCAGCTGCCAGCTCCAACATCCAGTCTGCATCAGTCAGAAAGGACAGAACACCAGTCAGAAAGGACAGAACACCAGTCAGAAAGGACGGATCATCAGTCAGAAAGGACGGATCATCAGTCAGAAAGGACAGACCATCAGTCAGAAAGCTGCTCTTCACATTTCACTCAGACTTCATGTGGACGTCTCACAGACTCAAATTTGTTCATCTTCTTACAGTTTGTTAAAACAAGGCTTCATTTCTTGTAAAAACAGATTCAGTTAAAAACAATGATCTACCAGTACTGAACATCTGTTTGACTTTTAGTATGTCATAACGTAACTTTGATAAAATGTGAAAATAAACGGTTTATCGTCTGTTTACAAAGATTTGCCTAAGTTGCTGTTAAAGAAACTATTGATCTTTGCGTCGCGGTCGTGTTTCAAACTGTGTGAATGGGACGTCCAAGACATGGACGCAAGGGGAAATGCAACCCCAGGTTTATAACGGTGTGGATGGTGGAATCAAAATAAAAACTTCAAAATCGTTCAAGGTTCGTCACTTTCAGATCACATTCTGAACCATAACGGAAGACGACCCTGGAGCTGTCCGACTGTTCACATCTGCTCACATCTGGTTTGGTTGTCTTTAGACTATTATGGAATGGGACTAACTAATTTATCTACATCTGTAGATGTTGTCTTTAAGCTTTGAAAAATAGCAGCTAACATTACATGATCACCCGTTGTCAAACAGCTGACTGAAGTTATCTCACTACAAAGGCTGCAGTGAACAGGCGGCCATGTTTGTTTCAGGCTCTTTAAGGTTGTAAAAAGATAAAGACAACCAACTGACCCACATCACCGCTCCCGCAGTGTGAAGTCAACATCTGTAAAGAACTTCACATGCATCAGAGTATCTGTGAAGAACGTTTGTCTCTCACCTACAATAATCCACGCTGAAGTCCTAAGTCAGACTGGTAAGCAGAGCTTCGTCTTGCAGCTCAACTCCCTCTTCACCACAACGGACCGGCACAGAGTCCACAAGAACTGATGAATGTGTTGCGTAACACAAGCTGATGTTTCAGGACAATCACCAAAGTGGAATCTGGAGGAGGCGCTTGTTCGGGGCTCCTGAACACACCGGTCACCTGCGGGACGCAAACATGAGCTGCAGGAGCCACAGTCCGTCAAAGTACCGGCATGCAGCTTCTGTAGGTGTTTACACTAGTCCCTCGTTTATCGTGGGGGTTACGTTCCAGACACACCCACGATAAGTGAAAAACCGCAAAGCAGGAACGCTATATATTTATATATTTTAAGGTTTTATAAACCCTTCCCACACTCTCGAGATGTTCTTAGCAATGTTCTAAACTCTTAAACCTTTTAAACAATAACATTTTCAAATAGGTACTCACCAGTGAAGATGAAGAATTAGCTGTCCAGTGATGATTTAGCTGTGCAGCACTGATGAAGTACTGATGAAGATGATATGAATGTGGGCTGCACAGCCAAGAAGAGCATGTACAGCTCTTCTTGGCTGTGCAGCACTGATGACGTGAAGAAGATGAATTAGCTGTGAAGTACTGGTGACGGTGATGAAGATGTATACTACACAGCCAAGAAGAGCATTTACAACTCTTCTATAGGCACCACATGCTCAGGTTCTTCTTTAACTTTTACTTCTGCTGCAGATGTTTGCCTAACAGACCTCTGTCTTCGAGTGATGAACTTAGTTACGGGGCGTTCCTCCTGGCGCTGCTTGTTCTGCTTCTGAGCGAGGATGATGTTGTAAGGTGACATGGCACTGTCGATTGCATTTGAGAACCGCAGCGAACGAACCATATTGGGGTCCCATTCTTCGATCACTTGCTGAAGTTCTCTGGCCATTCTGGCTGCGGTTGCAAGATGATCGAGTGTTAGGCCGACCTCCTCCTCCTCCTCCTCTTCAACAAGTCGTTTGTCTTGTCCCTCCTCCTCAACAAGTTGTTCGTCTTTTTCCTCCTCCTCTTCAACAAGTTCACCTTGTTCCTCCTCCTCTTCGCTTGACGACTGTATAAGTTCCTCCAGGTCTTCGTCCGTCAACAGTTGAGCATGCACGTCGATCAGATCATTCACGTCCTCAGCGGTCATGTCCATGAAGCCCTCTCCTCCCAGTGTTTTTGCCAGCTTCACAGCCTTGTCAATTTCAGAGCGATGGATTTCGTCAGCAGTCAGTCCCTTGTGATCGTGGACCACCTCTGGCCACAATTTCTTCCAGCAGGCATTCAAAGTCTCACTCTTTATTTCGTTTATGGACTTCTGAATATTTTGTAGACACGATGCTATTGTGTAGTTCTGCCAGTACGCCTGTAGCGAGAAGTTTTCATCCGTGTCCATGGCTTCAGCAACGTTTTGCAGAGTGTTTCTTGTGTAAAGCGCCTTAAAAGCTCGGATAATGCCTTGATCCATGGGCTGAATGTGCAATGTTGTGTTCGGGGGCAAGAACTCCACCTGGACCCCCTCATACTCCAGATCTTTAGCATGGCCTCCAGCGTTGTCGGTTAGCAGAAGAACAACCTTGAACTCCATGCCTTTCTCTGCCAGATACAGCTTCACCTCCGGGATAAAGCAGTTGTGGAACCAGCTGGTGGTGAGGACTTTCGTCAACCAGGCCTTGGAGTTGTACATCCAGTGAACAGGCAGCGAACTCTTGCTTATGTTTTTTAGGGCTGGAGGGTTTTTGGACTTATAAATAAGTCCTGGCTTGATCATAAAGCCCGCAGCGTTCCCGCACATGATCAAAGTTAGCCGCTCTTTGGCTTCTTCTTTCATGAAAGTGTGAGAAGGGATCCGTCTCCAAAACAAGCTGGTTCCGTCCATGTTGAACACTTGCTCGGGGCTGTAGCCCACCTCCTCCATGACGTCTGTGAACGTGCTCACGTACTCCTCGGCTCCTGCGGAGGCAGCAGCAGCCTCTCCGTGCAGACACACGCTCTTAAGTCCAAAGCGTTTCTGAAATTTGTCGAACCAGCCCTTGCTGGCACTGAACGGGGTTGGTCCGGTGGTCGAAGCACTCGAAGGTCCCGCTCCAGCCTCCTCCTCCTCATCGCCATTTTGAACGTACCTTTTTGCCGCCAGACGATCGTAAAGTTGTTTGGCCTTTGTCCGGATGATAACTGAATCCAGCGCGATGTTCTTTTTACGACAATCATTAATCCACACGGATAACGCAGATTCCATCTTCACAATCGTCCTGTTGCGTGAAGTAACGACCCTCTTCGCGGTGGCGTGGAAAGTTACTGCCGCCGTGGACCGGATGTTCTTCTCCTCCTTCTTGATGGAGCGAACCGTAGATTCGTTGATCCTGTAATGGCGGCCAACGTACGCGCAGGTTCTCCCTTCTTTCAGCATGTCCAGAAGCTCAACCTTCTCTTTTATGCTAAGCATCTTTCGCCGGCGCTTCGGTTCGCAGCCTGAAATTTTAAAACACTCCGAACGTTTGGACGCCATCTTTCTTCTTCTTCTACGGCTGCTTTTTCTTCTTCTTCTTATGTTTTCTGGCGGTTGGCAGACCAACTGTGAAGGTGCTTTACCGCCACCTACTGGACTAGAGATGAACAATATAAAAACTAAAGCTGTAAAATCAACTTAATTAAACTAAATTATCTCTATTAAGTTTGTATTTTTCAAGATAAAAAATAATTTGATCTTTTACTTTACTGACATCACTACTAAAAATGTCACTGTGGGTTTTGTCCGGGTACTCCAATTTCTTCCCACAGACCAAAAACATGCATGTTAGATTGATTGGTAACTCTAAATTGTCCCTAGATGAGAGACAGAATGGTCGTTTATCTAGTGTCCCTGTGATGGACTGGAAACCTGTCCAGGTGTCCCCACCTCTCACACAGTGATAGCTGGATATGGGCACCAGTGACCCCCACGACTCGAAAAGGAAGGTGCAGGTAAAGATAATGGATGGATGACATACATACTGTATATATATATATATATATATATATATATATATATATATATATATATAAATCCAGCAATGTTCTGTCAGGTCATCTGGAGGGTTTCTTTTGTTGCTGAGACATTTTGTCCTTCATCCAAAGGACTTCTTCTATCTGAGGAGCCACCATACCAAACTGAATCCCACAAACAGCTCACTCCCAGAGTGGAAGAAAACCAGTTTGCTAGTGATAAGATGGCCTCCAAGGCCCGTCCTCTCCCCTGTCAACTTCTCTAAGGCAGCCATGCCAAAGTTTCAAAACACCAAAGTTCATGCTCAATAATCCAGGTATAATTTTTTATTCCTCTAGAGGAATAAAGATGACAGCAGCAGAGAAAGGTCTCTAAGAGGGACAAACTGCTGAAAGTGATACCATACCATACCATACCAACTTTATTTATAGAGCACTTTATGCACCCAACAGGACCAAAGTGCTTTACACAATTATATAATACAATACAATGATAAAATGGAAGGGTAAAATTTAAAACAGGAATAGAATAATAAAAAGTGATGATCAAAGTTAGTTCTGTGTCAACTCACAAGCCACATTTCATGTTTTCATATAAACATTAAAGGGAATCAATGATGTATTCTTTATTGGGCAGATATTTTAACTTTGTGAAAACAAGAAAATAAGCTGCTGTTTTACAAATAAAAAACAAATTTGCAAAAACGAGATAGAAAAACAATTCATTTTTTTGTTTTGGGGTTATATTAAGATTATAATAATTTGTTTTATGTTTACCACATTTAGCATATCTTTGTAATGTAATAAATATTTACAGCAGGTGATTCAGTTCAATTTGAACTCTTGAACTTCTCAGAAACATATTTTAACACAGTTATTGTCAAAAATATTAGAAACCTGAACGTGCTTCAACAGATCCACTCTGACTCAGCGTTGATGAGCTCCTCTGGAGGATGGAGAAGGTCCAGCAGTCGGGTCAGGTGGGTGGTGACTTGGACTCCACGTGTCAGAATCAGTCCATCGACTCATGAGGTCCAACATCCTGAGATGACTCTCAATCTGAGACGTTCAATGGTTTATTATTAATTTACCACAACAATTCATGGAGGATGAGGGGGATGAAGGCAAACAGAGGAGTGTGTGTTGTAAACGGAGCTCCTCCGGGTAAAAACCTGGAGCCAGCGACCCTCAGCAGGACCTCCACCGGGTAATGATCGCTGATGTCCAGCGCCTGGATCAAAACCAGAACCAACATTAACGTCTGGAGACCAAGGTCTTCTCATCCCAATTTAAATAAATTACATCATAATGATCAACAAAAACGCTCAAATGAACCCAAAACACCTGCAGGGTTAACACTCAAACACCAATTCTGAGTTCAGTTTCACATGTGACATGAATTAAAAATAAAACTGTTGCAGTCTCTAATCATAAGTATGATGGAAAAACTGATAATAAATACATATTCAGCATTTCTGTTACAGATATGGAAACTGATAGTTTCTCTATATACATAAATAAAAAGTTTTAAACAAAGATTGGTTTATTTGCACTGAATGAGACTTCAGATTATTTTAACGACGACAGAAAATCATTGGATCAATTCAAGACATGTCAAGATGGCTGCCACAGCTAATCAACGTTAGCCAACATACTGTATAAAAAATGGTCCAGCTCAGTAAGTTTTACAGATACTGAGCTGAAATGTGGTATGGTAGTAGCTGAGAGTGATCTCTAACACATACTCTGAACACTAATGGATCACACACACACACACGTCTGTCTTTGTATCTTTACAGGGATTTTGCTTGACTTCCATTCATTTTTCATTAATTTCTATAGACTGACCCTAAACATAACCATCTCGATAGAGCGCAGAGTGATTTCACTCTGTGGGACATCAACAACAGGTCAGAAACACAATATTCCACATGCACCATCACATTCTGACAAGCTCGTCTGCCACATTTAAATTACGCTCTAATAAAGATGTCGTTCTCAGGTAGGCATCCTCTTCTTTATGATCGCAGGGCATGTTTTTTACATGATTGTCTACTGTTTGTACCTCATCTGTGCTCTTTGTTTAAAACAGCTCTCTCTTAAATGAGTCCTCGAAGCTCAATGAAACTAACCTATACAAATAAAGGTTGAATGAATTACCAGTAGATAACTAAACCTAACCATTACCAGTACATACCTAACCCTAAACTTAACCCATCCTGAATCTGCACCTTAGTCCTAAACCTAACCCCTAACACACCAATGACACTTTAAGCTTATGGGGACCTGGTTTTGGGCCCCATAAGGAGCAGGCGGTCCTCACATTGTAGTATAAAATGGAAAAATGGGTCTTACAAGGTAACATAAACAAAGACACACACACGCACACCTTTGTCTAAATCTTTAGTTGCATTAAATGTTTCTGTCTGTTGCCTGTTCTCAGCTGTGGTTTGTTTGTTTGTTTGTTTATTTGTTTACTCTCTGGATGCGTTACCTGCTCCTCGGTCAGTTTGAATTCCTGTTGGAAATTAAACGGCTGGGCAGAAGAGGGAACAACCGCTCTGTTAAACGTCTCTCCGTGCACAACGATCCTGTCGGAAAAACAGGAAAAAAAAACCACAAACAAAAGATTTCAAACGTGAAATAAAAATATACTTTTTATTAAACATCAACCATAAACAGAACAATTAAACAAAGTCTTAAACGCACACAAATCGTTTTTAAAGAAACTGCGCCTCATCCATCACTGTCTGAACTGTCTGTGTGCCCAAAACTTAAAAAAAAAAAAAACTAAAACAAGCTGGATTAGAACAGCTTGAGCCACAAATCTACTGTTAAAAAGCTAATTTCATCATTTAAAGCAGGATAAAGTTAGATTTAGTTTAATTTCTACCACAAAATTAAATTGTTTCAAAACAGCAAAATGTACTGAAACTCACCGAGGGCTGAATAAACACCATAAAATGTAAACTTTTAGTTGGTTACACTATAAAACAAAAGATTTGTATTAAATTGTTGACATGTATCACCAGTTTTACGTTAGGACAAAAGGAAAAGAACTACTTTTATTTAGTTTTAGATGGAAATATATATTTTTAAACAACATTTAAACCCTGAACTCTGCAAGTCTTTGTGTGTTTTTTTTATATATTTGTGGGAAATTAATGAGCAATTTTGAAATAACTTAAATGATTAAGATGAACAAACCTTTAGGCCGACTTGTTGGACCTTTGAATTTCTTCTTATAAAGTCCGAGACACATTCTGCATTTTAATTTTTATTTACCGTAGTTTTAATTAAAGGAAAGTCTTATCGTCTCCATGTTTTAGCCACAGGTGTGTAAACCTGCACTTTATTTTCCTCCATCTTTCCTAAACGTGTTAAAGGAAGGAGCTGGTAAAGATAACAAATGGATGGATGTTAAAAAACATTGATACTGCTGGTATATTTCAGAGAAAGACGAGCCTGTATGGCTGTGAGTTGACGTAAAGAGGTGGTTAGTAATCTACCATCTTGAACCGATCAGTTTATTTTGCTTCTTGTGTTTTTATTAATTCTGTCAGATTTCATTAAATATTTGCAGAAAACTGCAAAACGTCAGCCTAACGCTAAAAAACTAGAGTTAGGAATATAGAAGTATTTATTTCGGTGATATGGTTGATTAAAACTGTCCCTGCAGAGAGACCAAAGGGCCACATGTGGCCCTGGAGCCGCACGTTGCAGACCCCTGGTTGTCATGGCAGCAAAATAATAAAATATATTCCTGAGCAATCAAAAGGAACAACAGATCAGTTGTTTTTAGCAAGTTTAGTCAGTGTTTTATGTTTGACTCGTCTGTGTGAAATAAAAAATTATTTTTAAAATTTGAAATAAATTCATCCACCCCACAGGGGGCACTTCTTCATAAACAACAACGTCTAGTTTTAAGGTTTCTGTAAAACACATCAGAACAAACGGCACGTCCTCTCATATACCACTGTGACTCAACATTATTTAAATCCTCAGCATTAAGTGACCATATTTACCATAAAAATAACAAAAACGCAACACAAGGCAGATGTTTCATTCTCCATCACGAGACTGAACGTCAGTCATCTTGGGCTTGGATTGGTTTGAACCGTTCTTTGTCTCGGGTGGAATAATTAGAGGACACAAAATTATAATGATGTTTAAAAACAAGTTGGAAATCACTGGATTTTCTCTAACGGGGTCAAATTTACCCATACACTCCCACTGAGGTGTTTTGTCTCCATCAACGAGACAAAGGAGACGCTTCTGGTTTAATTCTGGCTGAAACCTGACAGCTCAGCTTCTTCTTGGGGTTGAGATCGGGGCTACTTGAGTCTTGGTGGTTCCTAAACATCTGAACCAAGTTCTTCACAGATTTTACATTGTTCTGAGTTGTGCTCAATCCATCCATCCATCCATCCATCCATCCATCCATCCATCCATCCATCCATCCATCCATCCATCCATCCATCCATCCATCCATCCATCCATCCAGCCAGCCAGCCAGCCAGCCAGCCAGCCAGCCAGCCAGCCAGCCAGCCAGCCAGCCAGCCAATATCTTTACCCGCTTCTTCCTTTTTGGGTCACGGGGGTCACTGGTGCCCATGTTCAGCTGTCACTGTAAACTGCAAACTCCACCCAGAAAGGACCAGGACCAGGATTTGAACTGGTGATCTTCTTGCTGAGAGGCAACAGCTCTACCAATTGTGCCACCATGTCGCCCTGTGCTCAATCCACCTATACGTTATTAGGTGTTAATAAGCATTAATAAGCATTAATAGGTGCTAATAAGCGTTAATAAGTGTTGTAAGCATTAATAGGTGTTAATAAGCGTTAATAAATGTTATAAGCATTAATAGGTGTTAATAAGCATTAATAGGTGTTAATAAGCATTAATAAGTGTTATAAGCATTAATAGGTGTTAATAAGCGTTAATAAGTGTTATAAGCATTAATAGGTGTTAATAAGCATCAGCACCTATTAACATCAGGTGACTGAGAGGACGTATTTGAGACGATGAGTATCATTTTGATGGTATGTAACGTGACATTCATGCCCATGATGAGAAGATATAAGCTTCAGACTGTGGTGGTAACTTAAGATCCTCTGAGCTACTTCAAGAGTTTTCTCAAAAACTCCTGAATGTTTGTTGAAATCAGGTGTTTTAGTTCAACTCACCTGTCGTAGGAGCAGGAAGTGCTCTGTTTGACGGTGCTGTCACTGTTTTCTGGTACGAGCCAATAGAGGTTGGGGTCTGTGATCAGGCGCACGTTCTTCCTGTTCTTCTTGGCGAGGTAGCCGCAGTCGGCGTTAAAGTCCCCGAGAAGCATCACATTCTGCTCTCACACACAGAGATGATCCCAGTTAGTCAGATTTAAAGACCAGGCTGACTAATCTCAAAGTTTTTCTCGTGGTATCAAAGAAAGTCATGCTAACTTTAATACTTCTTATTTACAGAATCTTTTAATACGCTGAAAGAAGAAGAAGATTTACAGGATCTTTTAGAGTTTGCTCACTTTGCTTTAGAGCTACAAATAGGTCTGGGCAGCTCGTAATGTATAAGATGGTTTGTTAAGTACTGTGGAGCCAAGCTGTTTAGTGATTTATGGACAAGAAGAAATATTTTGGGTATTCTGTAAGAAACTGAGAACCAGTGGAGTGAATGAAGAATCAGAGTTAAATGCTGAGATTTGTTTGGCCTTTAAGACTCTAGCAGCAGCATTTTGGACCAGCTGGAGTTGTCAAATTTTTTTTTTTTGGCAGACCTTGAAGTAATTCATTACAGTAATCTAGTCAACAGGAATACAATGCATGAACGAGGATTTGAAGGTCAAGCTTTAAAACAAAATCTCTTATTCTTACAAGGACGGTATATTCAGTGTCTGTAACCATTCTTTTGTCCCGCCCATAGTCTGATCTGCTAAAGATAATTTAACAAAACTTCATACATGTATGCATCATCACTAAAGGGAGTACCAGTATTTCAAATACTTTCATCACCCCAGCTTCAAAGTCAAGGTCACAAATCAGGGTCAAATGTTATACAAGGTCTTTGGCTGGGCCATTCCTATAGATTGCTGTACAATAGTTTGTCGATGGGCATTTACTGTGCCATTTGTTGTACTTTTATTAGTAAATAAACCTGAATCCTCCCGTTTAAATCTTGGTGATGGACTCTGAGTTCTTCAACACAGATACTTTGCATAAACGTTTTCTTTTACCTCAACTTTCCACATCTCCCTCACTTTTTGCAGAACGTCATACAGAGCGTCGAGCTCTTTGGTGGTGTTGGTTGGAGTTGTGTGTTGAGGAATGAGGACAAAGTCCTTTATAACTAAAATCAAATGGAAATGATGAATTATTAGGGAGAATATGGAGAGCGTTTTCATTATGTTGATATGGGAGTCTAAAAACTGACTTGTCCTTGGGGCTTTGAAGCGAACAACAAAAGGCTCTCTGGAGAAAGCGTCTTCATCTCCTGGTAGATCGTCTGGGTACTGATACTGATCTGTGACCATTACTGTGTCCGACCTGAACACAGCCAGACAAACAGAACATAATTATTATTGCATGTGTATCTTGATGCATGCTCATCATGTGCATGTGAGCAGTTTTAACCAGTTCTGGTGGATCAAACAGTTCAGCTCACCTGTAAATAAACACGTACTGTTCCTGGTACGTATCGGACCTGCCCAGCCTCCCACTGGCCACCATTTCGTACTTGTGGTCACCATCATAGCTGATTAAAAAACAGATAAAGACAGACAGGTGGGTGCAACTATTGCCGTCAAGACCTGGAGTCTGTTGGAGCTCATTAGTGCTTGAGGAGCAAGGTGAGACCTGGCCTGGCATCCCGAACACGAGATGGATCTAACGCTTTAAGTTCATGTATAAACTGGTGTAACATCACCAGCAGCAGTAGATGATTTGGTAATAATTTACCCATTATTGTAGCATGCTAGGTGTAGAGGGAGTACCTTCAGAAGTTTTTTTAATGGGTGGAACCAAACGCCATAAAAATCTTATGAAACAGTTGTCTTATCTAGACTGTGTGAAAAATCCTGCAGGACGGGAGCCATGAGTCAGGGTCTTGTTTTTTTTTATTTTTTTTTTATTTTATAGTTGCCATAACTGAGAACAGCAGTCATTACTCTCTTCTCTGAAAGTAATATTCATAAAAATATTATGTACATAAGACTGTCTGGCTTGTGGGGGCCCTGTACATTTAAAATAGTGACTATTGCCCCCCTTAGCCTCACTTGATGGCACCACTGGTTACATTCCACTAAAGCCACACTTCAACATAATTCAATTCAAAAATACTTTATTAATCCCATAAGGGAAATTAAATAAACTCTTAACTAACTAATAAACCCTTAAATAACCCTTAACCCTCCTGCTGTTCTTGGATTAAAATAACCCCGAGGTCTCGGTCTTAAAACTGAGGTATCAGAGATCGTTTTGACCCAAGGACAGCAGGAGGGCTAAAATCAAGAAAGGACAAGAGCAGGTTTGTCTTAATGACCTATAATATCCAGACACCCATCAGTTTCCTCCAGGGTAGCTGGACTCTCCCTTAAGAGATCTGGTGAGAAGTTCAGTTCTCCAGGAGAGACTCTGAGTAGAGCTGCTGCTCTTCTACATCTACAGGAGACCGCTGAGGAGGTTCGAACATCCGGTCAGGATGGACCCTGGACGCCTCCTTAGGGAGGCGCTCTGGGCATGTCCAACTGGGAAGAGACCACAGGGAAGACCCAGGACACCCTGGACAGACTATGTCTCTCAGCGATCCTGTGACATGTGACTAGAGTCCTCCCAGAAGAACTGTTCTCAACAACAAAAGGATTCAGAGACATTTTAGAGAACAAAAGTTCTCTTGGTCTTGATTTATGACCCATTATTTGTGTGTGGTAGTGGTGGGTAAATTCACAGACAAAAATGGTTTGTTACCAAGATTTTCCGGTTGCGACTCGGGTGCTGATCTACATAAGTTCAACAGTAATTCTGCATATCCTGTCGCACTTTTACGAGAACATTAACTGTTACACACTGGAAATTAGAAACCTCCAACAAGTCAGTGATGTGTTGTAGAGTCTCAGTTGATGGAAACATCACAGTTGTCAGGGTTTCTGACAGAGCAGGGCAGGAGTGAACCCATTAATGCAGGGAAAAGTCAGGACTCCAGGATTTACAAAAATAAATACTCTTTAATGATAATAATAAACCAAAAAGGCTGATGTGGCAGCAACTTAAAAAAAAACAGGGAATCAGATCAGGCCGGCAGGACAGAACAGAACAATACCCAGCGATGACGCGACAAAGGACAAGACTCACAGACAGACTTATAGACACAAACAGGACAGGACATATTTACAAACAGCTGGGACCAGACAAAGGAGAAATTAATCAGGATTAAATGAGACACACAAGGGTGCACAGACAGAGAAAGCCCACAAGGTGGTGCCATCCATACAGCAGTATGTTTGTGTGAATAAACAAACCTTTTAATTGTTTGAAGCAGCTGTTGTACAGCTGTGTTCTTGGCGTCTCTCACCTCCTGAAGCAAACAAATGTCGCAGCGAGTGATGATCTGAAACACAAAACAGCACGATGAGGTGAAGATCTCAGCCTGCTGAGTGGAATATTGATGTGTTCCTATTCCTGTAGCTACTTGTGATGGTGCAACGAAAATGTTTTGGACCTCAAACCCATTTTTTAACATAAGAAAACCTTTATTGTCATACAGTAATACAGAAGGAGCCACTCTCATGATGACTTTAATATAAAGAAAACATAAAAATCACAAAAATATTGACTAAAGATTAAAAGGCTGCACAGAAATCTGTCGGAGTCAGTCTCCCCACCATCACAGACATCTACACCTCCAGATGCAGGAAGAGGGCCACCTGCATCATGAAGGACCACACTCACCCAGCACACACACTTTTTGCCCCACTCCCCTCAGGAAGGAGGTTAAGGAGCATTAAGTGTAGAACCACTAGACTGAGGAACAGCTTCTACCCTGAGGCTGTTAGACTCATGAATCTCTAACCAGAATAATCACTGTGAAAAACCATATCATGTTGCTGCTGATCTGTTTCATGTTGCTGCTGATCTGTTTCAATGTTGATGTGTTCATGCGTGCACATCTGCTCACAGACTCATGTTCATATTTGTGCTGATGTTCAATGTTTTATGTTATGAGTGCTTAGTGTATGTTTAGTTGATGTTTATCTTAGTTCATATCTTAGATGTTATTACTGTTTTTCTTATACATTTTATTGTTGGATGTAACTGGGACCCTGTGGACATAATTTTGCTCCACCACATGTACCACATAAGGTGCGAATGACAATAAAGAAACTCTGACTCTGACTAAAGATTTCATTACAAGTTTAAGTATAAGGTAATATTTAGGGACGTATGATATTACAATCGGAATTTAAATAACTTGATATTAATGCTACTTTTAAAACACCTCGTTAAAGTTAGTAATTAAATAATTTAGGTAAGTAATCTAAAAGAAAAATTTATATATCTATGTCAATATTACTTATCATGTCGTGATCATGCAGATGTTTAATCACTGAACTCAGTTTGTTTCTCTTATTGTGAAGCTAAAAGAAGAAAATGTTATGTTTAAGACATAAACTCTGATTGCTCTGAATACATTTTGAAACAAAACTAGTCCATTCTGTCTTCACATCAAGCCTGGATGATCCTCTGAGAGTCACATCATGTTGTCATCGATGCAGACGTTTTATTTTAAAACATTTCTCTTCTGAGCGAGCTGCTGATCTTTCTCTGCATCTGCTAATAAAAACAGTAAACTGTTAATATTCTTACTCTGGCCAGAGTTAGCATGACATCGCTCTTCTTGGCCTTTGAGTCTCCAAAGTGATGAAGGTTGAAAGCACATATCCTGAACTCTGACCCCCCCTGAACATCACTCACGCCCAGGAGGAAGGAGAGGAAGAGGAGCGAGACGGTCTTCATGCCCTAAAAGCAGAAGACACAGTTCTAATAAATAAGAGTAGCACACACGGCACATTACACACTCGTCGACAAACTACTAAACACCAATCTATAGCAATGGTAAAGCAAAGACCTCATATTAACTTTGACCTTGATTTGTGACCTTTGGGGTGATGAAAAAATTATGCAACACCATATCATCCATCTATTCTATTTACCCTCTTCCTCCTTTCAGGGTCACAAGTGTCAAGGTGAGCAGTCACAATGTGAGAGGTGAGGGACACCCTGGACAGGTCTCTCCAGTCCATCACAGGGACACATAGAGACAAACGATCACTCACAGTCTCTGTGGCTAGGCCTAGGCTCTAAACATCCCCAGGAGAAATTGGAGGTGTATGGAACACGTGTAAATCTACCAAGAGCAAGCTTTCTCTACAAACTGAGTGACCGTGCAAGAAAGAAATCATGAGAGAGTCCACAAGACACCTGTGACCACTCTGAAGGAGTTACAAGCAGATGAAATGGGAGAGACTGAGCATACAGCGACTGTTGCCAGAGTTCATCACCAGTCTGAGCTTAATGAGAGAGTGGCAAAGGGAAACCACTTGAAGAAAACTCGGATCAACTCTCGACTAGCGTCTCTAAGCAATTAAGACAAACTCCAGCAGAACTAGGATGTTTAGAGCCTTGAAAATTATTTTACCTTTTATAGCCATCCCTAAAAAAATTGGTGCCCCCACCCCCACCCCACCACTAGCCCCTCTTGGCCATGTGTGTCCTCTGAAGTCCCACATTTTTGTTTGGTGCACATTCCTCATTTCTAATCTAGTCCCTCTAAAAATAGTTTAAACCCAATGTCCTCAACATTAGGATGGACGTCTCAGGAGGTTAGAGGCAGAACATTTTTTATAAATATAAATTTAGATGTGGACAAACTTCAAGTTAAGTTGAGTAGAGACTGTGCTTTTCTCAAAACATAATAACTAACTAAATAAAAATAGATCTGTGTATACCAGAGGATGATTCTGCGACTCCTGTATTGCCATATATTTATCAAATAACCAGCAGATGACAACACAAATCTGAAATTCTATTCTGCTTTTGATTTTGGTGCCACCCCAAGATTTCAGTGGTTTTCCCCCCCCCCCCCCCAACGACAACACTCTAGACACGCCACTGTTTGTATAATGAAGCATTAAGCTTGATTTCCAGGCAGTTTCATTCTAATTCACACCTTTACACACCCGACCAAATCATCCAGGCCAGCAAAGACCCCAAAGACCCTCCAGAGTCTGCATGGGGTTCTACATGACAGAGCTTCACAGTCTCCAGTTCTGAGTTGAGAGAGCTCTCGAACTGGGAAATGAAACATGAACCACAGAACAGAAATTCAGCTGTTTGGTGTTTTCTTGGGGATGTTGCCTGAAAGAACTGAATAATCCGTTTCCTCTTTCTGTTCCTGACAGTCTGAAACGATTAAGTAAAGGAAAGAGTTTGGGACTCATCGTGGCCGACACGCCGTTAATCTTTATTTTTATTCTATAAGGAACTTTGTGATCCTGAAGGAATAACTTCTCATTTGTTTTGCCTTTCTTCAAAGATTTAAGCTCCAGTAATAAACTTCTGGTGGTAATCTATCGTCTCCAACAGATTAGTTGATGAGTGTCAGGTAAAAACAATTTAACACCTTTGTCTCTTCCGGTTTAAGTAACTTCCTGCATTTATTGGTGAGAAGTTTCAGATTTAAGCTCAGCTGATCGATACATGGTTAAGTTTAGGTTCCAATAGGTTTTTGGTGAAAGAAACTGCTCTTGTTTAGCTTTAAAGCAGCAGATAAACAGCAGCTTTATCTGTTTTTATGGGCCGCTGCTGCAGGAAGGAGATAAATTTACAGAGAAAAGTCGGCGAACAGAAGCAACAACTATTTAAAAATGATCCCAAATACACAAAATAAAGTTCTTTCTTGTCAGATTTTATCTGGTGAGCTGAGAGGTTAAAGTAAAAACAGCAGATGCTGCTTAACATCAAGTTTGTCTGATTTTAAATTGGACAAATACATGAGCAGCATTTATAATGACCTTTTATTCATTGTGAAATAAAAAGACTCTTGTTGCCACATCAGTCAGAACTAAACCTGACTTATTTTGGAAAGACTAACACAAACAGAGCTTTGTTTATTTAAAAAAAGCACAAAACTAAATATTCTGGGGCTTAAAAGTATTTTTATTTTTATATGTGGGGTTCAAAGAGCTTGATTTATGTTTTAAATTTTGTATTATAAACTTTTTCCTGCGGTTGTGACAAACAGACCCATTTTTCTTTAAGTCAACCAGTTTTATTCTCATTTAAACACTTATTTACAGATGACATCATTTTTAATGAGATTAAAATGCCAAACCAGACTGATTTCAGCTGGATTAGAGAAATGTTTGTAAAAAGCACAAACTGATTAAATTACCTTCAGGTACAAAAGTTTTCTTATGTCGGCTGCAGTTTGGTGTTAATCTGCACAGCTCAGATACAGACAAACACTAATGATTTCATCTTCTGATGGCAGGAAACTGAATAATTTATCTGTTCTAAAACATTGCTTCATTTGTTTGAACTGAGCTCAAATAAGATTAAAACAACGAGGACAAAAGGAGCAACTTTCTTTGATTTTTGGCTTTTGGTCTAGTTTTGACAACAGAGCCGTTTGTTTCGCTTTAAAACCGCTTTTATGCAAAAATCATTTAACTTATATGGTATATCGCATTTAAAGAAGCTAAATTCAAGTCAAATTTCATGAAAACAAAAAGAGTAAAATGTTTGAAATTTAATAAAACTGCAGGACGTGTTGGATTCTCAGTTTTGAAGGTAAAAGATATAAACGAGTCATTAAAATAATTTAAGATGGAGAGAGGAAGCAGCTGACCGAGCTCTAATGTGACGGGATTAGTTTAATTTCTAAGTAAATTAAAATGTTTTTAAAACAGAAATATGTGACAGAGGTTTTTTGTTCTTTCAGCTGCTCCCTTCAGGAGTCGTCACAGTGAACCAACGCGACAAAGACCTGGCAACAGTTTTTACACCGGATGCCCTTCCTGACTCAACCACAGACCACCGAGCTACCACAGCCCTGTGTGTGGAGCAGAGAGCTGCATCCAGGCCACCCAGCGGAGCAGATGGAGTTAAGGGCCTTGCTCAAGGACCCAGATTGGGGCAAATGAGGGTGGAGGCAGGTGTGGGTGTTTCACCTTTCTTACCCACATTTTGATGTTGTCAGTTCAGGGAGTTGATCCAGTGACCTTCTGATCACAGGCCTACCTTTTCTAACCTCTGGGCCACCACCCCCCCCCCCAAATATGTGGCAGAGGTCTGCTCTGAAAATCTCACCAGAAATAGCAAAGAAAGAAAGAAAACAAGAGCTGGTGTGAAAACAATCACAGGAAAATCCACAACCTGCAGCTGGAATTATGAATCTGTTTGCCATCTGTGGTTAATTATAAAACTTACACTGTGTGTGTGTGTGTGTGTGTGTGTGTGTGTGTGTTTGATTTTTTTTTCCTTAATATCTTTCTAGCTCTAGTGGAAGCCATGGTCCTCACAAAGTTTAGTTATAACATAGTTCTCACATGGATATAGAAACCTGTATATATGTGGTTAATGTTTTTTCTACTGGAAGCCATGGTCCTCACAAAGTCCAGTGATAACACAGTCCTCTCAAGGGTATAGAAACCTGTATATGTGTATGTGTGGTTAATTTTTTTCTTACTGGACGCCATGGTCCTCATAAAGTCTAGTTATAACATAGTTCTCACAAGGATATATAAACCTGTATATGTGTGGTTAATGTTTTTTCTACTGGATGCCATGGTCCTCACAAAGTCCAGTGATAACACAGTCCTCTCAAGGTATAGAAACCTGTATATGTGCATGTGTGGTTAATTTTTTTCTTACTGGATGCCATGGTCCTCACAAAGTCTAGTGGTAACAGTCCTCACATAGCTATAGAAACATGTGTGTGTGTGTTTGATTTTTGTTTGTTTTTAATATCTTTTTAGATCTACTGGGAGCCATGGTCCTCACAAAGTCTAGTTATAACATAGTTCTCACAAGGATATAGAAACCTGTATATGTGTATGTGTGGATAATTATTTTTCTACTGGGAGCCATGGTCCTCACAAAGTCTAGTTATAACATAGTTCTCACAAGGATATAGAAACCTGTATATGTGTATGTGTGGATAATAATTTTTCTACTGGGAGCCATGGTCCTCACAAAGTCCAGTGATAACACAGTCCTCTCAAGGATATAGAAACCTGTATATGTGTATGTGTAGTTATTTTTTTTTTCAACTGGATGCCATGGTCCCCACAAAGTCTGGTGGTAACATAGTCCTCACATAGCTATAGAAACAGGTATAAGTGTGTGTGTTTGATTTTTGTTTGTTTGTTCTTAATATCTTAGCTCTACTGGAAGCTATGGTCCTCACAAAGGGAGGCAATAACATAGTCCTCACAAAGATATAGAAACACGTGTGTGGTAACATTCCTGTCGGTCTCATGCTCCCGTTTATTAAAGGCCTGGTATAAACCTGTAGAAACTTGTGTCTTTAACGCCTCCAACAGACAAAGTTTCCGATGAATGAGTGTTTTTCTTCTGTCCAGCTCTTCCTCTTCCTCCTGCTCAGACTTTCATTCTCAGAAACAAAAACCTCTCCCAGACCTTCAGGGATCAGGATACAGGTCTTGTAGATCTTTAGTTTAGACACTACTATAAGTTGTTAGAGCTGGAGTAACTTACCGGCTGCTGGATGGACTGCAGGGCGGGAGTTTTCTGCTCGAGCAGTTTCTGTGTGGAGCTCAAAGCTGGGCAGCTTTATGTGTTTCCTGTGGGTGGGACTGAAAACAGCAGCTGCAGGCAGCTCCACTGACAGGCAGGGCCGAAAACATGGGCACCACTGAAATTCTCCCAGAAAATTATTGTAATTACAAGTTTTGTTTATTCTTTTGTGTGTAATGGAACAACACACAACCTACATTCATATAATTTCATGCAAAACTCCAGAAACGGGCCGGACAAAATTATTATTATTTGGCTGCACACATTTGGATAAAGAGAAATCTTCCTACCACCAACAAACTCCCTGCGCCTCTCATGCGGACGTTTAATTCTTCTTTTGCAAACTGCTCGTGGTCTCACATTTGAAGGTTTCCTTCTCCCATCAGCTGATCAACGTTTGTTGTTCAACTTAAACTCCCATTATTAAGGGAGACTAGCTTTTACATTTTATTTATACATTAACTATGCTAAAACAATGTCTTTAATATTCATGGGGTTCTAATTTTATATAACTTGAGAAAAATAAAAAAGCACAAAAAAAAAAAAGCGCAGGAATCAGGATAAAACTGGCATCAAGTTTTTAGGAGAGGGCATTGGTCCCCCCTAGCCCCCCTTTGTTGTCAGGTGGACTGACAGGGTATTTAATTTCCTGACATGATAAAAATAAATCCACATCTTTGTTTGGTTTCCCTTCTCCAAGACAACAGACGTAATAAACAGGATAAAACAAGAAGTGGCTGAGCCGTTAGTTCATTCAATTATAAACGACAACTTTAGATCCAACTAAAGGAAACAGCCGAGACCTGCTGGAGATTTTTCAGAACAGCTTCTTTAAATAAATCCAAGCATGATTCAAACAGGAAATAAGATTCAGGTGACAACTTAAATATATTTTTATATTTCACCACCGTTAGTTAAAACAGCTACAACGTCTCAATTAGTGACGGGCAGAAGATACGAGGCTTCAGAGCTCGAGTGGCTCGTCCTGAAGCAGAACTGTCCTGTTCTTGTATCAAACACGTCCGTCACGTGACAAACGCTCGCCGCCATCACCGCTTCATGTTGGATCAGAAAGTTTCGTGTTCTCATCAGTTTTAGATTTGAATGTTCTGGTGCGACATGAGCTTTTTAAAATGCATCGATTCCTAAAAGTGTTGAGCTGTGAGGAGAAAGAATTATGAAAAATAAATTGGATGCGGTAGCTCGGTGGTCAGTGCTGCAGGCCCGCAACCCTGAGGCCGCAGGCCCGAGTCCAGGCTGCACCACGGTCCAGCACAAAACAACTTTCACGAGAGTTCGCTCTTTGTGGCGACCCCCGAAGGAGCAGCTGGAAGAAAATTACTAAATTAAGTAATTTTCTGTAAACTGCCTTCAAAGGTTTGGGATCTATTTGATCGTATTCCACCAAATAGTTTTCCCAGGATCTACAATTCACGTTTTAATGTTTTTTTTTTTTTTTTTTAAATGGGTATTTGTAGGTGTCTGAACTTCAGTTTTACATTAATCACATCACGTTAAGGCGGCACGGTGGCTCAGTTGGCAGAGCTGTTGCCTCTCAGGAATAACGTCACCAGTTCAAATCCCTCTGGGTGGAGTGTGCATGTTCTCTCCGTGCAGCGTGCGTTTTCTCCCGTTTCCTCACAGACCAAAAAACATGCACGTTAGTGACTGGTAACCATCGTCCCTAGGTGAGTGACTGGTCGTCTCGTCGTCTCTGATGGACTGGAGACCTGTCCCCGCAGCGATAGCTGGACATGTCCAGCGACACACATTCATACATCGTGTTTTACTAAACCATTCATTTAAAAAAGATCTTTGTTCTACTTGTCTACATTTTTGTAATGCAGATGTAATAATTTTGTACAAAACATGAAGCTTTAACCGTCTTCTCTAAACTTTATTTGCTGATTGAAACCAGGTCAGTGCTTCAACTCGAGGTTCCTATAGCTCCAGTTGTCCACGTCTCATCACTGAAGCTTTTTCAGCACACCTGCACGAAAAGCCTCGGTGCTTCATGAACCCATAAAATCTAAATACTTAGAGACTTGTGCAGGATTTGATTTGTATCTTATGTGTGACCTGAATCCGGACGGTTCCCACCGGAGATTTTGAAAAAACAAAAAAAACAAACATCCAATTTGATGCTTCGTGTAAGAAACTGAATTTGTTTTGTTTGATTCCGTCTTAATTAAAAACCTTAAACGAATCTGAACTGTTTTTAATAAAACGTAGCCAGGAATCCGTTTGTATTCAAATCCACGTTTATTGGCGACGGCTCACAGAAGGTCTGCGGCGGTTCAGTTGGCGTGCAGGACCTTCCAGCGGGACAGAGGACCTCTGCTGGGGATGTACTTCACCCCGCAGCCGTCAGGAATCAGACGCTTCTCGGCTATCATGTCGTCAAAGTCGCAGGCGTTGAACTTGGAGAAGCCGTACTTCTTGGAAATGTGGATCTGCGGAGAACATTTACAGAACATCACCGCAGGTTCTGAGACTGAACACGAGCTGTCAAACCAGAGAGTTCTGTCTCAGTGGTCCCTTGAAGCACTCAGCACCTCCCAGCTGAGCACATACACAACCAAAGAGTCGCTGTCTGCAGCCTTTGCACACCGGAACCGCACCGCAGCGACACCGGTCGGCTTAAGAAGCTGCAGAACTGAACCTCGACGTGTCCATGCAACCACTTGTGGAGCGGTGGGTTACCTTCTGGCGACCGGGGAACTTGAACTTGGCTCTGCGCAGAGCCTCCACCACGTGCTCCTTGTTCTGGGCCTTGGTACGCACGGACATGATCACCTGACCGATGCGCACGCGGGCCACGGTGCCCTGGGGTTTCCCAAAAGCACCACGCATTCCAGTCTGGAGCCTGAGGAACACCAAAGAGTTTGGATTAAAAGAAAACAACGAGGAACATTTTTAAAAACCTGGATCCCGTCCAGGGCCTCTCACCTGTCGGCTCCGGCGCAGGACAACATTTTGTTGATGCGGATGACGTGGAAGGGATGCAGACGCATGCGGATGTGGAAGCCATCTTTACCGCAGGTCTTCACCATGTACTTGTTAGCACAGATACGAGCCGCTTCCAGAGCTGCAGGAGGAGCAGACGACAGTTTCAAAACAGAATACAGCCTGGCCTCGTCTCCTTCTTAAAGACAAGTCTCCACTCAGATGTTGTAACAAAACACAGACAGGATGTTAAAACTGTTTCATCAACACTGTGACCACAAGTTTCAACAAATCTGACGCGACTGCACTAAAACATTTAAAATGGCTACATGAATAAAACCGTTCACGTGCTTCTGCAGAACCTGAACCTCCTCAAGTCTACGAGGGTCAGCATCTCGGGCACTCGTGCCTCCTGCGCTCCCCCCCCACTGCTCAGAAAACACCCCAAATTAAAAAGCTGTTTTTCTCTACAGCTCACCCAGCAGGCTCAAGATGTTTCTAGATAATTTTATACAACTTGTTTTCAAGAGGTTCATGAAGCCGGACATTTAAAAGTTGGATTTGAACTCCAGCAGACGTTCTGGTTGGAAAACAACAGGTTTGTACGAACACTTCAGGTCCATTTTTACTACTTTTTGTTACATAATTTACTGCAAACCTTACAACATGCATGCAGAAGTGGGCACGTGCTTTTTATTTTGGGAATGTCCTTTATGTTTACCTGAAAAGTACATGATCAAATTTTCATCCGGGACGAAAGCAACAGAAACCTGGACATCGGATTCATCTGCTCGTTGGTGTTTGTTCATCTGTGGTTTGTGTTTGGAGCGGTTTTGTCGCTCAGTGGAAATAACTTGAGCATAAAACCACCAGCGTTACTTCTATACAATAAACAGCTAATTTTATGCACCGACATGATTACTGACAGTCCATCTGCACATTATCTTTAATACAGGACACGAGTGAACATCCACACGTCGGTGTCAACAGCAGCTTACTTTGACTCTGACCAGAGGAAAAAAGATTTTAAACTTCTAGTTTTCATACGACACCGGACTTCTTACCTTCTGAGGACAGCTGCTCGTACTCATCAGAGACCATGTGGGCGCACAGGGGGAACTCATCTACCTTGGCCTTCTTCCTGCCCAAGTCAAAGATTCTGATCTTTGGGTCTGTGAAAACATTTGAGTTCAGTTAGCAGAGTTCAATTTGAATAAACTGATAGATCTGTCTCAGTGGTCCCTTGAAGCACTCAGCACCTCCCAGCTGAGCACATACACAACCAAAGAGTCGCTGTCTGCAGCCTTTGCACACCAGAACCGCACCGCAGCGAAACCGGTCGGCTTAATAAGCTGCAGGCAAACCAGCAGGCTAATTTATAAAAACACGCTTTCAGGCTAATTAAACCTTTTATAGACAACAACAATAATGGTTTCATTAATCTCTTCAAACAGTCTGAATAAAACGTTTTAATTAACTACTGATGGATTTATTTATTTACAGTGTTGTCAGAAAAAGAAGACTGCATTAAACTGAACAAGATAACATGAAGTATAAGAGTAACGTTTCTGTTTGACAGACGCTGAATCAAAGTTTATGGTACAAAATAAACAGAAAATAAATGTTCACTGATGTTGCAGAGTGTCCGCTCAGTAGCCGGAGTCTTATTATTGGCTGTGAGACCGTCTTCAATCTAGTTTGTACAAAGCTGCAGCATCACCAATTATACTTAAAACAAGACTTTTTAATTCTTTCATTTGGCTCAAACACACAGAAAGTGTCAAATAAAGATTAGGATATGTTTTGAGTAAGAAAGTTTTAACAAACCCAATTATGTAAAAAGACATCTTAAAGCAAAATGTGCCTCATGAAGCGCAGGTCATACCACGACTGTAGGTTAGATCGACATCTCTTCTAAACAAAACCATTAACATTAAAGTTAGAGGAAAAACACGGAGATTTCTGCACCGGGAACCTGACAGACGGGTTTAGCTGCCGTCAGATGAACCCGCAGCACGACTGACAGAAGCTGAGCTTTGAGAAGGCGGCAGACGAAAAGTTGAAACATCTCACCAGGAACACCCCTGCAGAAGCGAGACTTGGGGTAAGGCTTGTTCTTGCAGTAGCGGTAACTGGAAGAGAGAAAAGTCTCATTGAGTCTCTTTCACTGCTGCGGCGCTTCTTTTGTGAAGAATCACCAACTCACATTTATCAACAAATTTAAACCTGTCAGGATGATGGAGATTCATCAGTTAATATCCAGGTGAGCTGAACTGACTGAAGCAAAAGTAGACCGAAAGACATTTCTTTTTACCGTGCTTTATACATGAAAAATCCACTTCCTTTAAATAAACAAGTTATTTAATAAAATACTGTACAAGATTTACATTTGTTTTTTGCATGCAATTCTTATTCGAGTCCAAGTGCAACATGATTATTCGATACCAATCAGCAATTTATAATGGTGCAATGAATTATTTGGACATTAAATAAGAACAAGTTGTAATATAATCACTATTAGAATTTTAGTATTTTTTATTATCTTTGTTCTGAATGTACTGTGTAATGCAGCAGCTTGTGGTAAAAACTGTAGTTTTAACTTTTCTTACCTAAAAATAACCCAATTATCTCCCCTGAAAAAATAAAAAAAATCTAAGTTTCCCCTTGAAAACACTGGAAAGAAGTGTTATAGTGAGGTGTAAAGTCATGATTAACAATTGTTCATTTAATGTCAACTGTGAATTTTGGGGGATTTTTCAACTTTTCTGCACTTTACAAGTTGAGTCAAGTGGCTACAAGAAATGAAAGATTGTTGTTCTTCGGCAACAAAAAAAATACGTCTGTCATTACATAAGAAAAACACTAAATATTGTTATTTGGGCGTTTTATATGTGGAGGTAAAGTTTGGGAACAAAATGCTAACGCGTTAGCGACTAGCTGCTAACATTAGCTTAAAAGCTGACACAGCGTGCGGAGAATAACTTTAAAATGACAGTTTTAAATAACACAAGAATCTAACAGGACTAATGGTTTATCGGATAAAGTGTTTTCGGTTTTAATCGGACGGTGGAACTGTGCTGAGGCCTGCCGGTGCTCCTGCACATGGAGCGGACACCGAGCCGCTGCCATTTTCCTCAGGCGGACTCAAATGTCCTAAAACTACGGGACTCACCAGCGGGCAGGTCGGCGGCCCATGGTCACGATCTGAAAGTTAACAAACAAAAAATGGGTTATTTAACTTGAGTCTAAGGTAAATTTAGAGCATTGTGACATTAAATCTATCAGCTTAACAAACAGCCGAGAAAATCGCGCTGCCACCACGCACTCACCGAATGGAGGAAAGGAAGAAGAAACTACTTCCGCTTCGTCATGAGGACCGAGCCGACGTTGATTATTAAACACGTTTATTTTTATTATTATTTCCTTTAGATGTTTGTTTTGTATTATGAATAACAAAACTTGCATTTTAAAATGTCAAAATGTACCTACAAACTTTATAAAAATAAATAAATAAACGCGTTGCTCTATTGAATGCTGGGAACTGTAGTTGATCAAAACAAAACTACAAGGCCAAGTCGGAAGTGGAGTTTTTCAAAATAAGTACGGCAACGTGCACTGATTTACGATTAAAAAACTTTTTTTTTTAATCGAATTGAAATAAATAAAATTCCTTAACCTTACTTAAAATGTCCAAAATTCAAGGAGCTGACCAAAAAAAATCCAAACATACATACACAAATGAATAAAATAGAACTATTTATTACAGTTCAATTAGTGCCAAAATATGATTATGTGTCTATGTAAAGTGTGTATGTAGTGTACTGTGTAAGGTGAAAAGTGATATGTTAAGTGCATATGTTAAATGGTATGTTAGGTGATATGTTACTTAACACATATGCATCTAACATATTAACACATTCTTAACACATCACCTTACATATACACAACACGCTACATACACACGACATATAAACATATTTTTGGCACTAATGGGATCTCATAAGGGCAAATACTTATACTTTTTTTTTTTTTACATTTTATTTATTTCATTTACAGTTTAAAATAAATATGTCACATGTTAACACAAACAAAAGTTCTGAATGAAAAGGAGTAATTTGAAGAAAAAAATCTTAAGATTTTAAGGTTAGAGGTGCACCAGTGACCCCGGGGACCCGAAAAGGAAAAAGTGGGTAAAAGATAATGAATGGATGAATGGATGGATGGATGGATGGATGGGTTAAAGGTTGTTTATGAATTATGAATGAGGGGTTTTGTAAATCGCACATGGTTTATAAAACTTGAAGTGCACAACTTTTGCCATATTTAATAGGCATTATAAATGTGAAATATGTGTTTTTGAAAGCAACTTGTTTTTAATAATTTCCAGTCAGCCATAACAATATGACAAGGAACAGCATATTCATGCAAGGACCCAAAACTTTATTAAATTTAATTGTTTTTCGTTTCACTTTTTCAGAAATTGAACATCCATCCATTATCTTTTACCCACTTCTTCCATTTTGGGTCACGGGGGTCGCCGGTGCCCATGTCCAGCAATCACTGTGTGAGGGGCGGGGGACACCCTGGACAGGTTGCAAGTCCATCACAAGAAGTTGAACATCTGAGGATGATGTCTGAGTGTTGATGCTGCTTGAACTCACAGTTTTAGCTTTTACTTTCATGTGTTAAAAAATAAAATTAAAACCAGTCTGACTTCTGTCCTCACACATTTCAGATCAACGATTGGTGTGAGTGAGAGAGTGAATGGTTGTTTGTCTCGTTTGTCTCTATGTGTCCCCTGTGATGGCACTGGAGACCTGTCCAGGGTGTCCCCCGCCACTCGCACAATGATTGCTGGATATGGACACCAGTGACGCGAAAATGAAGAAGAAGGTAAAAATAATGGATGGATGGATGGAAGGATGGATGGATTTCAGTGCAGCCAGTCTGAACGTGCATTCTGAAAAATGACCACTAGGGGCCAGTATTATACCATTTATTAAACTTGTTTTCTTCCTTTTTTTAGCCTTTTTGTACTGATTCTTAAAAGGGAGCAGTGATCTCATATCTTAAGCCTTTAAAATGAAGATCAAATGTTTTAGAAATCTGAGGAATCCTAACTTTGTTCTGTAACGTCATGAATCAAAACAGAAAGCAGCGAAGGACCACCTGAAGGCTGTTTCTGCTCAGGCGTCATGTCCTCACGTGTCTTTGACTTTAATTTGTGTCAAGAGACTTTGATAAGGGAAAGCAGCTCAAACACAAAGCAGATTTCTTCACGAGGAAAGACTTTGAACTCTGACTGTGATTCCTGCGCAGCTTCAAGCGAAGGTCAGCTGTCAGCCCCCGTATCTCCCGTTTCTGTTGTGTCTGATTCCCCACCAGAGTTTTCCTGTCTCTGAGCTGAAGGCCGGCGATGACGGCGTCAGAATGGAAAGGGAACAAGGACCAAAAAAGGTCCTGGAATATGTGTCTGTTTCTGGTGACCGATGACAGAGAGACGCTCGCACTAAAACCCAACAGAAACAAACCGCCAGGTTTAAGACGAGGCTTAAAAGCAGAGCAAGTTTTTCCATTTCGATACGGACTGTTTGTTTTATTACTAAGACGTTTGGCTGTGACTTAAAAGAGTTTGACAGTTTTGGAAATGTTCTTTTTCCGACCAAAGGTTTGAAGTGAAACGTGACTCTAAAGACTGAGAGCAACATTTGTTCTCATTGTTTGATTAATCCATACAAGAATCAATGAGCACGTCTGAGCCCGACCAGAAGGCCTCACGTTGGTCGCAACGTTCTTATTTCTCTGTGTTTCAGATAAAACGAGGTCCTTTTGGTTCCTCAGTTCTTCCTTTCAGCTTCTCCAGGTCACCTCCTTCTTATCCAGGTAATTTATTTTATATCACAGTGGTATATTCCATAAAACTCTGTTCTTTTCACGACGTTGGAAATTGTTTTTCAGTCCTACTCTGCAGCGCAGGGTAGTCCAAATAAACAGACCCAGAGAACCAGACAGGTTTCTGGTTAATCAGCATCGAAACATGATCCTGTAGGTACAGTTTTTGAGGGATTTGTTGGTTTATTCATTGAGGTTGACTTCAAATTAAAACGCCAGTTTTCTGACATTTTATTTTGAAGGTCACCAACCCCTGAAAGAGAGAGAGAGCAGTTTGTGAAGGTCATACGTTAGAAAACCAAGGCCCCCCATTTCACATTTTAAAATCAATTTTCAGTTTGTTGTCATGTTCTCCATGTTTATGTTCTTATTTCTCTTAAGGTCAGTTCTTCCTACGTTGTTCCTCTTTATCCGGTTGAGTAACAGTGAATTTGTTCCTCAAGCAAAACATGATAATGATTAATTAAAAACAACTCTTTTGTTCATGAATGACGGCAGGACGGATCATCGGGTCAGAACCTCGTCTTCAGCTGCGGTGAAGATGAGCTGAAAGGCGAAGATCTCGATTTGGTGCGACGCTCCATCATGACCAAAAGACCAAGCTCCTGAAACGTGGCCCCTCTGTAGGGAGTCTGGGCTCAGCCTTGAGGAGCTCCGTCATCTGAGAGGAGAGTCGCTGCTCCTCTGCGTTGGCAGGAGTCACCTGAGGTGGTTTGAGCATCTGATTAGATTCAGAGAGCTCTGAGATAATCTGTACATCTCTGCAGTCATCCTCCACCCAGTTCTGACTAGTCTCTGAGTTCCTGCTGCCAAAGAAACGTCCCCACAGCATGATGCTGCCACCACCATGCTTCACTGTAAGAAATGTTTTGGTCAGGATACAAACAATGCCTGGTTTCCTCCAGACATGACACTTATCACTCAGCTCAAAAAGTTCAGTCTTGGATTTTATTGACCAGAGAGGTTCTTGCATGGTCTGAGAGTCCTTCAGGTGTCATGTGGGAAACTACAGGTGAGCTCTCAGGTGCCTTTTACATAGAAGTGGTTTCTACTGGGTCACTCTACCAAACAGGCCTGACTGGTAGAGTGCTGCAGAAACGGTTGACCTTCTGGAAGGTTCTCCTTTCTCTGCACACCTCTGTCAGAGTCACTATCGGGTTCCCTGATTAACAGATCACGCTCTTGGAAGAGTCCCGGTGGATCCAAACTTCTTCTGTTCATGATGTGGCTGCTGTGTTCATTTAGACCTTCAGTGCAGAAGAAAAATGTCTACACCCTTCAGCAGATCTGTGCTTTAATTCACTCTCCTCTGTGGTGGTCTGCAGACAGTTCGATGGACCTCATGGTTTGTGCTGACATGAACCACAGACACTGGGAGGCCCTTCAGGATGCTCTGTGGGCTGGCTCACCTTCAGAGGGCTGGACAGAGCTGGTCCACATCCTCTGATTCAAGGTCATCTCAGTTCAACACAGAACTGAGATGGAGGTTCTAATCTGGTCATGATGTCCAACCCAGCGAGGCAGAACTCCCACTCCAAGTCTTCTTAGCTCCCCACCGTCACACTCCTCAGCTGAGATTCAAGCTTCAGATCCACTAATCCTCACTTCCTCAAACTCTTTGTTGAGGTGAGCGACAAGCTGCAGGTTTCATAATTTAACTGTAGTTCTGATGAGCAACAAGATGAATGATAGACACGAGGCCTGGGTTTTAACGTTGAAGGGTTTCAAACAGGCTGTTTCATAACCCCCGACTCTGTGTCCGTCGTTTTATGACCACCCTGTGAGTCATCGTTTTATTTGGTTCTCCTGCTAAACTAAGTTGACTTTTTCATGACTCATATCTGCAGGGATCTCAAAACTGTCAGTGACAAGGAGATGTAAATGTGGAGGACGGCGCAACAAACACACGTCCAGATGACGAAACAGTGCGAACAATGACTTCGGCGTGGTTTGCTGCTCTGCAACCTAAAAACAGGAATCAGTGTGCATCAGTGGCTGACTGTGCCAACCACACCCTCACATGTACAAAGTACACACAGCCATGTTAGAGGATGCTGCCTGCACACATTTCCTGAAAACTAAGGCTGACACACATTTAACTGAACTCTAAACCAAATATCAACATAAATGTGTCGGGTTTTGTACCTAGAAGGAGTGGATTGCAACAGCTGGACTGCTTTTATCATCTTGGTATAAATACACACTTATGTACACTATATATATATATATATATAGTACTTACGTGTAGATCGGAAGTACAGT